GACTCACAAACACTCTCTATTGTCAACAAACTGCACGCTCGGCTTCTTTTGTCTGCATTCCACTGACACAGACGCTGCATATTTTCTTTATTGTAGCCTCTGTCTGAGCGGCAGCAGCCAATCAGAGGAGAGAGGGAGGTCCCTGTGGACGTGTGGCAGAAAAACCTAGAAGAGAACGAAATAAAACAGCAATAATTGGATGATGAGGAATCTGGTCTGTGTTGTTTTCAGTGTCAGTATTGATGTCACACACACACACACACACACACACGTGCGCGTTGGCTCATCGGTGCGACCTAATTGAACAGGACACATTTCACATAATCAATGCACAAATCAATGGGATGGAAAACAGCAGGGAGAGGCTGGAGTGGACCACTGACGTGGACCACAGACGTAAACCACAGACGTGAACCACTGACGTGGACCACTGACGTGGACCACAGACGTGGACCACAGACGTGGACCACTGACGTGGACCACTGACCGGTCCTCCGGTCACAGACGCTCCTCCAGTCACAGCCCCTCCTCCGGTCACAGACCCTCCTCCAGCCACAGACCCTCCTCCGGTCACAGACCCTCCTCCAGCCACAGACCCTCCTCCGGTCACAGACCCTCCTCCGGTCACAGACCCTCCTCCGGTCACAGACCCTCCTCCGGTCACAGACGCTCCTCCGGTCACAGACGCTCCTCCGGTCACAGACGCTCCTCCGGTCACAGACGCTCCTCCGGTCACAGACGCTCCTCCAGTCACAGACCCTCCTCCAGGCACAGACCCTCCTCCAGTCACAGCCCCTCCTCCGGTCACAGACCCTCCTCCAGTCACAGACCCTCCTCCGGTCACAGACGCTCCTCCAGTCACAGCCCCTCCTCCGGTCACAGACCCTCCTCCGGTCACAGACGCTCCTCCAGTCACAGCCCCTCCTCCAGTCACAGACCCTCCTCCGGTCACAGACCCTCCTCCGGTCACAGACCCTCCTCCGGTCACAGACGCTCCTCCGGTCACAGACGCTCCTCCGGTCACAGACGCTCCTCCGGTCACAGACGCTCCTCCGGTCACAGACGCTCCTCCAGTCACAGACCCTCCTCCAGCCACAGACCCTCCTCCGGTCACAGACGCTCCTCCAGTCACAGACACTAATCCAGCCACAGACGCTCCTCCAGTCACAGACACTCCTCCAGTCACAGACGCTCCTCCAGTCACAGACACTCCTCCGGTCACAGACGCTCCTCCAGCTCAGATCAGCCTGACAGCTGAGCAGTGATGTGGCCTCAGTCAAACCCCAGTTTGTTCTATTTCTGCTGAGCAGTTCCAGTGGTTAGAGCTGCATCCAGGGCTCCAGGCCTCAGGGGGAGGGAGGGGGGGAGGGAGGGGGAGAAGGAGGGAGGGAGGAGGGAGGGGACGCTCCAGGGGAGAGGAGGTGGGTGGGGGGAGGGGGGGTGAAGCGCTCTTCGGATCTGAGGAGAGGAGAGGAGGGGAGAGGAGAGGAGAGGAGAGGAGGGGAGGGGGGGGGAGGGGTGGGGAGAGGGGGGGGAGGGCGGGGGGGGGGGGGGGAGGGGGGGGGAGGGGAGGAGGGAGGGAACGATCCACCCTCCTTTCAAACTGCTGAGCCCCACCAAGTCAGGAAGACTGCCCCGCCCAGTACCTGCCCCATGGTCCAATCTGCTGACCACATGCAGCTGGACTGAAGTGATGAACAGGAGCAGGAGCAGGAGCAGGAGCAGGAGCAGGAGCAGGAGCAGGAGCAGGAGCAGGAGCAGGAGCAGGAGCACCTGCTGTTTATCTCCATGATTACCAGCAGGTGCTCCGTGTAAATACCTTTACTTTAGTCCACACTAAAAAAAATGTTTGGCCCCTCCCAAGATGGCCGCTGACTCTGGTTTGTTTGTTAGTGTGCTCTGTTTAATATAGGAAAAACAAAATAGCTATACTACAGCCTGGACCTCTGTTAGCTTTAGCCTAGCTTTCCATCTACTACAGCCTGGACCTCTGTTAGCTTTAGCCTAGCTTTCCATCTACTACAGCCTGGACCTCTGTTATCTTTAGCCTAGCCTTCCACCTACTACAGCCTGGGACTCTGTTAGCTTTAGCCTAGCTTTCCACCTACTACAGCCTGGGACTCTGTTAGCTTTAGCCTAGCCTAGCCCTCCAGCAGTCCAACTACTGCTATGATTGGCTCCAGCTCCCAGCCTACTATACTGAGAAGCTTTAAGAGATGGAAGTCAGATAAATGGAAGAACGGGTGAGAACGGGTGAGAACGGGTGAGAAAAGTGAAGTTCTTATTTGAAGTGAAAACAAAGGTTTATTCTACATTGTTGTTGTTGTTGTTGTTGTTGTTGACACTTCGACACACAGCTCTGAAGTCAGGCCGACTCTTCTGGTTCTGCCAACACGGATCGTATTTTCACAGTTTTTGAGCAGAGAACTCAGAGGACAAACATTTGTGGACGAATCTGTCCAACGTCCAACTGTTTCTGTGACTTTTTGTTTTTCCCTAAAGTCATCGGAGATATTCCCACATCTTTGAGTCTTGCAAACACAACAGAGGGCAGAAGAGAATAACACAGAAGTGACGCCCTGAAGAATTCCCTGGAATCAGACGGCTGACCAGAGAGCTGTGCAGCGGAGCGGAGGACGGGACGGCTGCTCTAACCTCACGTTTAAATAGCCAAGACCTCAGCGCTCCGTGTCCAACGGGTCGTAAATTGAAAACCTTAAATGTCCTTTGATGGAGATATAAAGTTGACTTTCTTGACCGAGGTTCTGTTTTAACCTCTGTCCTTCAGGAGATTTTTTTTAATCACAGCTGTTTTATTTTTGACCATCTTTTTTTTTTTTTTCCAGTTCATCCGTTTTCATTGTTTTAATTGTCACAGCATTAAGAAGAATCTTTGACTGGACAGTAGGAGGCGCAGTGTACTGGGACTGTGTGTTGACAAGAATCTGTCGATACGATATACAGCGGTCGGGGGGGTTACGTACCAAGACCGCCCGCGATAGACAGAAAAACGCTAAGTAGAGACACGATAGTTATTATATTATTTACATATATATTAACCCTTTTTGAACCCTCTAGGACTCTGTTTCCCAAACACTGGGTCGCGACCCTCAGGTGGGTCACAAGGGGCTTCGTCTCACATCATGTTTCCCAGGAGTTTAGGAATAATCTATGTCTATTGACTATGAAAATATGGGTCCCCAGAAAAAAAGTTTGGGTAACACTGCTGTAGGGGGCGTCGTAGGAGGGCGTGAAATATGGAAGAAAAACGTAACTTAATTTTCACAAATCTTGTTTTCCCGTACATAGGTTATTTCTTGCGATACCCTGTCTGTGTGTTACAAAATGTATGTTAAAAAAAATGATTTTATTTTATTTCACAAAAATAATGAAAATATTTACATTTTTTATATACCACAAAAACCCACGACAGAGTGAAAAATCTGCAAACGGCGAGGGATGACTTACTGCGATTTACTGCGATTTACTGCGATTTACTGCGATTTACTGCGATTTACTGCGATGCTATGAAGACGTTTTAGTTTGACTGAATCTCCTGTTAAAATACCATCTGTGGTCGTGGAGGACCCCCCCCTCCCCGCCCCACTGCCCCCCCATCTGTAGTTCATCTGTAATTGAGCTGTTACAACAAACATGCTTATTATTTAACCAGTGTGTGTGTGTGTGTGTGTGTGTGTGTGTGTGTGTGTGTGTGTGTGG